CCCTGCTCTAGAATTTTATTCTTCTATAACTTATTAAACCTTCACCACTGCTACTTGCTTTTCTAATTGACCCTGGTGTTGGTGTACCCATTGTTTGCATTACTTCTCACTCCATAGGCACCACAAACATGCTAATGTTGTGGTTGCAAATTTATAAAGAATGAACCACAACTCAGCAGTATCCTATCAAAGATGGCCTACAACTAAGCATCAAGTATAGGACAAAACCATGGGATGAAAACAATGATGAATTTGTCCAGAATGATCCAGTTGATACCCCTTGCAAAATCATCTTTGTCGCACTCATTGTTGTTGATCTTGTACAATCCCAACAGTGAAATGTGCTATGAAACTAGGATAGGAGGTAGGTATGGGTGAGATCTATACCAAATAAAGGGGTGATCCAAGTCCCTTTGCTAATGCACAAACCAAAGTAAACGGTTTATGTGAAGAAAGAAGATAATCCAATAGCTTGCCATATGATCCTCCTAGGCTCTATAGCTACACCCAGGTGCTCTCATCTTTCCTTGTAGTCTATAAGAATCAAAGGATGAGCAAAGGAATGATGGTGTAAATATGACCCCTCCTAATAAACTAGCTTGAGAACCGCCAGATCTAAAAGCAATATTGAAAGTCCTAACCTTGAGAAAGCGCGACCGTAATATGTTAGAAAGATGGTGCCAGAGCTGGTATAAAATTTTGCTGCGAAATAGTCTCTATCGTCGCACAACACTGACATAGGGATGCCAGATGACACCCAATTAGCCAACGAATCATGCAAGGATTCATTCAATTGATCTCAAATTTAGCCCCTGATTAGTACACATTATTTTTTTCATTCTCATTTCTACTCATTTTCAACCGCACATTATTCAATAAAATAATATTTTTCATCACATCAATAACTTTTCCTTCATTTTGAACCACACATTCTCCTTCAATCTACTATTTCATAATACATTCTTTCAAAATAAGAGTGAATTGCCTATTTAGTCACTGAACTTTCAGCCATGCACGCAATAGGTCACTGAACTTTCAAAATAACGTAATTAGTCACTGAACTTTACAATTCTTCATCCCATAAGTCACTGAACAAACGGCCGTTATAAATTGGACGGAATTTCCACGTGGCAGTGACTTCTGGGGTGAAGAATTGTTGCGTTATTTTGAAAGTTCAGTG